GAATCTATTCACAATAACCACAAAATGTATGAAATAACTAGGAATGTAGATTTAAGAAGTTATGGGCCCGGCCTGGCGTGGCTCAGCAGTTGAGCATCGGCCTAGGATCCAGGCGATCGGGGTTTGATTCCCGGTCAGGGCACATGCCTGGGTTGTGGGCTAGGCAGCCGTTCAATGACTCTCATCATTGATGTTTCTATGTCTCTCTCTCCCCCTCCTTTCCTCTCTCTGAAATCAATAAAGATATATTAAAAAAAATGATTAAAAAAATGTTCAAAAAAGATGTTATGGGATCTTAAACTTCAAAGACATGAAATGACCTCAGCGCATGGCAGAACAGACTGTGTTCTTAGGTGGGAGATTTAATAGCAAAACAAAACAAAAAAACAGTACTTCCCACATTAATGTGGACAGTGCAATTCCAGTCAAAGTCCAGGGAAAGATACTGGCTGAAATTATTTCAAAGTTTCATTTGTAGAGGTCAGTTTATACAGAAAGCAGTATTGAGTTCAGGGTCTTGCTTTAGCAAATACAACTAACTGCAAAGTCACTGCAGTTAAAAACAAGTAAGTGATAATGTGACAGTAATAAAACTAGAACCAGAATAGTCAGTCTAGTGAAAGATCCTAGTGTGTGTTGGAACTTAGTATTTGTCAAAGTCAATACAGTCCCTTATCTGAAACCCTGGGGCCAGATCTTTTTGAATTAATTTTTGGATTTCAGAACAGCTACATGGTATGATCATTAGGATCTGGGAAAGTGCACTGTAAGTTGAACCATCAATAATTCTTCAAGTGACTTATATAAAGTGGGATAAATAAAGATGGCACAAAAACATAATGTCAGCTCATGTTTTGCCACCAGATGAGTTTTGGAGGAAAAGTTTTGGGTTTCAGTTTTGTAGGTAAAGGGTTGTAGACCTCTATGTCAATTCAGTGGGGGAAACTGGTTTACCTTACAAATTTCTGGAAAGGAAAGTTGGTTCCTACCACATACCATATCTTTAAATTCCAGAAATCTTAAATGTAAAAAACAAAAGAACAAAATTTAGAAGATTATTTATTTACCTTGATGTTAAAGGAAGCTTTTCTGAGCAAGCCGGGAAACCCAAACCACATAGAAACCCTGAGCAGGTGGCCAGTGTGCATCTCAGCACTCAGCTTTGCTGGTGGGCAGGAACATGCCATGGGAAGCAGAAAAAATATCCCACAGTGATAACATCTGATCCTCACAGGGAGGCAGGGGAAATGTCATTGTTTTAGTACAGTTGGAGGAAGCATGGTTTACAACTTTTTTGTAAAGTACTCAGGCACTCTGCCTTTGGTGAACCTATTTGGTACAATTAAAAGCACCAGCATAGAATTACAGTGGAACCTCAACTCTCAAACTTAATTTGTTCCGGAAGGCTGTTTGAGATGCCATTTATTCGAAAACTGAATCATCCCCCCCCCCATCAGAAATAACGTAAATTGAATTAATTTGTTCCAGACCCACAAATGATTCAGTTTTAACTTTTCTTATATACAGTACATGTCTGATGTACTGTTTCATCTATAAACAAACACTTCTTAAATTTATCAAACCACCTACTAGCCTTAAATGAATCACTAATTGCTGGCGTTTTCAGGAGGTCAGCCTGCAGCATCTTCCCTTTTTCACATCATTGCCTCCCAAATGCTGCACTGGCTAACTGCTTTTCCTTTATCCAAATCAACAACAGTTTTTCTACCTCTTCAATTGCCTGTGATTATTGTTTCTTTCACACCATTAGCAACATTAGCACTCTTGATGGCCTCTTTATGTTTTAATATTGTGCTAATAGCCAATTTCTCACCTGTAACAAAAGCAAAAAACAAACAAAAAACCCACAAAAACATTCACAGAACTATTTCCTGAGATGCTAACAACAGGAGGTTTAATGGTAAACTGACTCCTACTGGCACATTCTCCATTTTGTTGGTGTCCTGAGAGACACTTTTTGTCATGCTGATGTACCAGCATGAAAGGGTTGTCAGGTCAAGACCTAAAGTTTGTTTTCCTTTAAACAACTTGGTCTAGAATCCAATTGTTTGAGATGGGAGACATTGGTTTGAATGTTTGTTTATTCTGGTGCTGTTTGGTTATTGTAGCAGAAATCTAGAAACAATGTAATTGTGCCTCAGTTGGGAGACATTGTGGTGTGTGCATAAGAGTTGGAGAGGAACTGGTCTGTTGTATCCTAATTATGCATCTCTAACATTTCATTTTGAGCATGTATGAGTTCTATTAATATTTTCCCCAAGTGGTAGAGAAAATGTGTAAATAAATAAAAAGGCTAAAACAGGGGAAGGGAGTAGAAACAAGTGAAACAAGATGTAAAGAGTTGGCTGGGGTTCAGTAGGGGTCCAGCAGGTGGGGTTTCCCCCAACAAAAATGGCTTCATCAGTTCCTTTGTGCTTATGGCTTTATACATGCATTACCTTTGTAATGCTGAAAGTGTGATTTACCTGTACTCTCACCACTGAGGAAATAATCTAGCAGTTTGGGGTAAGTCCTCCCAGACAAAAGATTCTGGCAACTATATGGACAGTCCATCACACATCTTTTATTACTGGGCCAGGGGAGAGATGAGCCCTATTTTAAGGACTGCATGGTGTTCTTTTGAATGTATGATCTGTTTAATTACTTCTCCACTGAAGAACATTTAGGTGCTTTCCAGTTTTTCACTACTGTAACCACTGCATGAATGGTTCCAATTCTTAAACTTAGGATAGATTCCAGGAAGAAATTACTCAAAAATTTTTACTTCTGATACATTCTATCAAACTGCCTTCCAGAAAATATAAGTGAACAGTTGAGCCTCTTTCCAGCAGGGTATAAGTGCCTTTTTGAACCTTACCGTTTGGGTGTGATTCTTCATCCTGGGAATCCTATGGATTAAAAGGATGTTTATCACTTAAATATACTGTTTGACATTTGTATTCCTGCTTTTATATCCTCCCTGTTAATCCTAAAGAGTTCCGTGATTAGGGCAGCTGGCTCTTTGTTATGGAAGGCACATTTGGCTTTTAATAGGTTTTTAAATATGTCCACTGCTTACAGTTTTTATGTAAGTAAATCAGATTTCTGCAATACAGCTGTAAAGACGTGTTACATACAGTAAGTACAGTGTAAAAGAACAGAGCATTTCAGCAATGATAAAATCAGGCCATAACTCCATGCTTGGAGGGTGGCCATACACTTGTACTCAAGGTACACTTACAAACCTATGCAAGGTTGAGGTGTGCAGTGAGGGAGGACCCCGCCATCTGGCAAGTGAGGGTCTTTTGGTTCCGGGACAGCCTCTCCAGCCCCTCCCCGCCTGCCCTCCCCACAGCTCATGATGGAGCAGTCTAAGAAGTCCTCGCTCATGGTGGCCCGCAGCATCCTCAACAACAAACTCATCAGCAAGAAGCTGGAGCATTACCTGAAGGTAAGGCGCGGGTATCTGGAGCAGGCCTCGGCTGCATTCCCAACCCCTGGTCCCGGGTCCTCGTCCCCAGCCCTGGTCCCGCGGATCCTTTCTCCCTTTCGCTTCCGTGCCCTTTCCACAGGGCGAGAACCCTTTCACCGACGGCCCGGAGGAGGATAAGGAACAGGAGGAGGCCGAGGGCATCGCCCTGGATGAGGGATCGCTGGTCGAAGAGGCAGGGGGCACAGAGGGTACCGAGAGCACGCCGCAGCAACCCCCGGTGCCCCCAGGGCCAGCCCCGGAGCCCGCGTCCCCTCCGCCGCCCCCGCCCCCGGAGGAAGACGAGGAGGGCGTGCCCCTGCTAGGCGGGGCGCTGCAGCGCCAGATCCGCGGCATCCCCGGCCTCGACGTGGAGGATGACGAGGAGGAAGGCGGTGGGGGTGCCCCGTGACCAGGGTCAGGGTCGGGCAAGGCGCAAGCGACGGAGGCTGGAAGCCGAGCTTAATAAAGTTACCCTTGTCCCACCTCCTGGCTTGTCTCTCTGGGCGGCACCGGCGGCAGGTGGAAGCCTGGACCTCGCTCTGGGGCGCTTGCGCGCGAGATCCGGAGGGGCGGGGATGAGGGCTGCGCCTGCGCGCGGTGTGGTACTGTGCCAGACCTAAACTCCCAGGATGCCGTGAGCGCCGACCTCGACCAACCGCAAGGCCAGTTAGGGAGATGGAGGCGGGCTTACCTTGAAAGCCAGGCAATGGTATCGCTCGGAAGGAGTTAGGTCTGTGTCTGGTCCTCCAGTAGTGGACGGCGGAAGGTGCGTTGAGCGCGTGCCTCTGGTGGCAGCCTAGAAAAAGGGACTGCTGGCGGACCGAGCGGGACATGGAACAGGGCTACGGAGGTTCGTACAGGCAGTTGAGGGCCGTGTGGGGCGGGCAGACACTCCCTGAGTGCGCCGTCGCGCAGAGGGTCGCAGGACTGGGGATTACACCCGAGAGTAGGTACCGCAGCCCGGTCGTATGGAGAGACGGACGGGGTGCGCGCCCGCCGCTCATTGGACTGCGGCGCCGTCGCTTCCGCGGCGCTGCGTGCAGATTGGATGGCCGCGCTTGAGGGGGCGGGCGGAGCTCGGCGTCCAGACGCTGCGGCGGGTTTCAGGGGGCTTCTTGGGCTGTCCAGACGTTTTTCAATCCTCAGTCCTGACGGGCGGACTGTCTTGTCCATCGCTCCCGCGCTCAGGGGCCCGCCGCCTTCCCCTTCCGAAAACGCCACAAAATGGCGGCGCCGGGGGGCGGAGCCACTGTCCGACCTCGTGGGGCACGGGGTCCTCCCCCCGGGCGGCCACGCCTGTCCTGGAATCCACGGGGCTTGGTTAGGGCCTCCGCAAGGCGCCCGTGGCAAGGGCGCAGGTCCCGGAATGCGCCTGGGCGGTGCGGGGTCGGAGTCTTCCCCACCAGCTCCGTGGTACAGCGCGGCCGGGCCGGGTGTGGCTTCTGTGGGGCTCAGCCTTGGGGCTCAGCCGTGGATCTGACTCGTGCCGGCGTAGGACGAGACCTTGAGGTCACATGCTGGGTATTTCCTTGTGCAAAGCTGGGAACCTGATGTGCCCCGGGGTGGTGACAGATTGGTGGCTCTCTTTCAGGCAATGCCTTAGGGTAGCCTGGAGGTGCTGGGGGCTGTGCACAAAGGGAATGTGCCCTTTCCCCACTTGAGTTGCAGGGCCTGTGACAGATCGGACTTTCTCGGGGGACCTGCTGTTTATCTCCAAAATCAATTTACTGGGAAGCCTTTGTACTGGGAGCCGAGTTTGCCAATTGGGAACAGTTGAGCTTGACTAGGCGCAGGCCCCTATTCAAGTGTATGAGGTTCGAGAAGCAGGTGGTCTGATCTTGGAAGTAGAAGCTAGAGAAGGCGTCTGTCTTGGAAGGTGGCGGCGTTAGCGGGATCCGGGCCGCAGGAATTGCAGAAGCAGAGAGGTTCTGAGATGCATGGGTGTGTCCGGGGTCCTGGGGTAGCTCAGCCCGACTCTCCTGGTCTTTTCTGCAGCCTGACTGGATCTCATCATTCTTTGCCTGCTTTCTGGCCAGATATTTCAGCCTGTAATCCTGCCTCATGTAAGCAAGCCCTTAGGTTGAAGAGGTTTCCGACCCGCTGAGCTCCCCCCCCCCCCCAAAAAAAAAAAA